GCTGGTTACAATACAAAATAAAGAAACAAGATGGGCTTGAACAAATAATGACAGTTAAAACCTTAACAACACAGGGTAAGGTGACTAGAATATATAATAGTAAATTTAACACATCATTACAGGAATAATATGGAACATGGGAGCATGTTATATATAAAAAATAAATAAAAAAATACGACACGGTCGTAACAGTATGTATGTATGTATGTATGTATGTGTATATATATATATATATATATATATATATATATATATATATATATATATATATATATATATATATATATATATATATATATATATATGATAATGTATAATAGCATGTGAAGTTTGAAGTTAATAGTTACTGATCTTCAACATATTGAAATATATGTAATCAAGCAACACCAGGTAGTACATTCATCCTCGGAAACATCTCTTTATTTTCTTCCTTAGTGTGCAGTACTCCATTGTGATCTTCCACACATTTTTGAACTTCACAGATTCTTTAATTTTTTTTTTTAGTGTAAATTTTTTCATTAATAACTATGACTGTTCATAATCCCTTCCCTCATTAGTCTCCACAAAGTCTAAGGAATTTACTTACATTTTAGTTCTCTTATGTAACCACAGACTCCGCTACTGGTTCCTTGCTAAAAAAAAAATACTTGACACATATTTAGACCTGTTTAATTATTCTTTTTGCTAGCCCATCATATTGTTCCTCTCATTTTAGCTTCCTAGTGTGCCATGCAGTTTATTATGGCCTATGGGGCTTTTCTGTCCAAAGCACATTCAGTTTTTGCATCCACTCCATTTTTTTTTAAGAAATAAAAAAAAGGGGGGAAAATTAATTGATCCATATATATCAATTAAATATAATTTAAAAGCCATAGAACATGAAAAAATAAGGTAAGGAATCTTGGTTAGCGGTTGCATTTCCTCTAAGTTCTATAGCAGTGTGATAGTTTGGGCCACTAAGTCTTCCTGTCATCTCCCTATGCTTACATGTTGTTTTTATACTGGTATCACACTCACAGCAGCCATATGCATGTTCCGATAAATGGCCATCCACCATGGTGTTTATGGGATAACTCATTTGTTAAAAAATTCAATTAAACACCATGGGAAATTTAATCAGATCTCAGTTCCTTGCTGATAAGCAGACATTCAATGCCTTTCAACTTTAAATTTAAATACAGATTTTAAAGAAATGATTTTTCTTATTCTTCTTTGATGCTTATTATGCAATCCTGGCTTAAACCAAACAATTTTGGGTACTTTTAAAATTTGATTAAAAAGGTGACTGTTGTTTATGCCCAGTGTCTGACTTGCTGCTGAGGATTGTGTGAATTTTAACATAAAATATGCCTGTATGTGGATGATACCCTTCCTCTTTTACATTGAAAATACCACTTCAGGAAGTTCCTGGGTTATGAACGGTTTGTATTACAGAATTTTTTTAAGTTGTTCATTTGGAGCTCAGAACTCTATCCATAGAGACAGTGTTATAAATAGTGGTTAGGTTCCCAAGCCAGCTAATGCTAATGTTGAGATAATGAATAATACCTCATATTGATTCAAATTTTCGTTTTTTATTCTATCAATTTAATATTTCTTTAAAAAAACCCATTGTTTTCACGCCTTTGCTTTTTCATTTAGTACTTTCCTTTAGGATTAATTTTTTTTATGTTATGTTTTGTATAGTGTTTGCTTTTCATTTCCTAAACTTCCACCTATTGTATTGGATAAAGGATTCTCAACCTATGCAATCTTTTCATTTTCCTCTGTTAATGAATTAATTTCTGATAATGTACAGTATTCTCAAATTTTTTAATTGGGTCTTCCTTGTTAGCATTTACTAGTTTACATTCCCACAATAGCCTATACAGTACTTGTCATTCATCCCCTTGATGGTGGAAAGGGATTTTTGTTGTTGTTGTTGTTTGTCAAACTACATTCATCCTCCAAACACAAACCCCAGCCATTTATAACTAATCATCACCAAACCAACTGAATACTATTCCTCCTTTACTGTACTTCTTTATATATTGATATATTGAATCTCTTCACTGACAAATTTACTACCTTTATATATTAACAAAAATTAATCCTTATTGATTACATATACTTCAAATGTTTAAGATAAAACCAACTTATTCTGTATTGGTGAATACTCACACCATCCAGGATATGTTTTGTATGGAGAAAATGTTGAGAGCATATCCATGCTGTTAACACAGTCACCTTTACTATGTCTTGTATATTAATAATTGCACACATAATAGATTTTGATTTACTGTACTAACTTACACAGAAGGAATTAGAGTGATTGTATTTAATACATATATTGAAAATACTGTATATGCCCTTCTTTTTACATATCGCTTAAAATATACAGTACTGTAAGCTCCTTGATTGTCAATGAGTTCTGTACAATATAATCAGTGGAAATACTGTAGTTGCATTTCAACTATATCTGCATGGGCCAACTTAAAAACAGCTAATGGAGAGATAAAGCTAATGTATTGTTATTTTGTACCATGCACCAATCATTGGTAATTATATATATATATATATATATATATATATATATATATATATATATATATATATATATATATATATATATATATATATATATATATATATATATATATATATATATATATATATATATATGCTGATAACCACAAGGAAAGAAGAAAACACGAAGTTCCCAAGCGCTTTCGTGTAATTCACATCTTCAGGGGTGAGTACAGACTAAGAGAGAAGTACAAAACAAGGTGTATATATACAGAGGAGGGTGAGACCAGGTCCACAATGGTCAGGTATTAGGTAATGACCCTACTAATCTTTAAATAGCACCACAACGGTCGGTAGTCAGGTCAGAGGGTAAGGTGACCCAACCTTCTCACCTGGTTACAAATCTTCTTAATTACAAAATTGTCCAGTTTGTACATGCCATTACTCAAATTCATGTTGAATGCTTCGGTATGTTTAATGAGACTAGATTCTATGATGTTCCTACTATCAATTGAATTACAAGGTAATATTGAGGAGGCATTATCCCAGTCAATGCAATGCTTGTTATCCCTCAAATGAACAAACAGAGCATTGGATTCCTGGCCTGTCCTAACACTATATTTATGTTGTTTAAGTCTAGTTACAAGATCTTTACTTGTCTGGCCTAAATAAAACATATTACATTCTTTGCAAGGAACTTTATAAATGCAACCAATTCTGTTGTTGGGGGAGTTCTTGATTAACATTTGTTTAACAGTGCATGAGTTTTTAAATGCCACATTGACGTTCCAGGTTTTTAGTTGTGAAGGAATGTGTGATAAATTTTTGTGAAATGGTAATATTAAGATATTCTTATGGTCATGGGCGGGCTTGGGATCAGTTCTATAAAAAGTTTTCTTAGTAATGTTTAGGCATTTGCCTATGAAAGATCTAGGGTATTTAAGGTTTGAGCCAATATTATAGATATATTTATATTCCTTATCATAAGTAATATTTTACCACCTTCAGCAGTCTGGTTTAGATATGTTGATGATGTATTATGTCTCTGGCCATGTAATGAGGACCTAAAAGCTTTCCTGCCACAACTTAGCCCCCTTGATCAAATTCACTGTGGAATTAGAGAAAGACTGTAAATTGCCATTCCTAGACTGTCTGATACACAGAATAGGTAACACTTTTAAGTTCAGTATTTCTAGAAAACCTACTAATGTGTGCTCATACATTCATTATTATTCTGCCCACCATAATAGAGTCAAACAGTCAGTATTTTCAACAATGTTTTTACGTGCTTTGCGAATTTGCAGTCCGGAATTCATTGATGAGGAATATAAATATTTATATAATATTAGCTCAAACCTTAAATACCCTAGATCTTTCATAGACAAATGCCTAAACATTACTAAGAAAACTTTTTATAGAACTGATCCCAAGCCCACCCATGACCATAAGAATATCTTAATATTACCATTTCACAAAAATTTCTCACACATTCCTTTACAACTAAAAACCTGGAATGTCAATGTGGTATTTAAAAACTCATGCACTGTTAGACAAATGTTAATCAAGAACTCCCCCAACAACACAATTGGTTGCATTTATAAAGTTCCTTGCAAGGAATGTAATATGTTTTACTTAGGCCAGACAGGTAAAGATCTTGTAACTAGACTTAAACAACATAAATATAGTGTTAGGACAGGCCAGGAATCCAATGCTTTGTTTGTTCATTTGAGGGATAACAAGCATTGCATTGACTGGGATAATGCCTCCTCAATATTACCTTTTAATTCAATTGATAGTAGGAACATCATAGAATCTAGTCTCATTAAACATACCGAAGCATTCAACATGAATTTGAGTAATGGCATGTACAAACTGGACAATTTTGTAATTAAGAAGATTTGTAACCAGGTGAGAAGGTTGGGTCACCTTACCCTCTGACCTGACTACCGACCGTTGAGTGCTATTTAAGATTAGTAGGGTCATTACCTAATACCTGACCATTGTGGACCTGGTCTCACCCTCCTCTGTTTATATACACCTTGTTTTGTACTCTTTAGTCTGTACTCACCCCTGAAGATGTGAATTACACGAAAGCGCTTGGGAACTTGTGTTTTCTTCTTTCCTTGTGGTTATCAGCATGCATACATATATATATATATATATATATATATATATATATATATATATATATATATATATATATATATATATATATATATATATATATATATATATATATATATATATATATATATATATATATATATATATATATATATATATATATATATATCATTTTATATTATGGTCAGTTCAGAATTCTCCATTCTCCATCCTTTTAAAGTGGAATAATGATGTTTATACTGTAATTACTAATTATTCATGGTTTATACTTTCAAGTAGCTTTAGAAATAGCTTGTGAATTTTTTATAATCATAAAATGCAGCAATCAAGCAATATACATGTAATATCCCGAATCTTTGTTTTGGTGATAGGTGGCTACCCAGATTATGCAGTTCCTCATCGACAATTTTGGTGTGAGCAACCTGTTTGGGCGGGCTAACTATGAATACTATGCCCGGATCACTGGCCGGATTCTGAAAGTTGAGGAGGACTGGATATTTGCCTTCAGATATCCACCAGATAGCTTAGTGGCACGTAAGTAAAGTACTGTACAATGAATCAATTATTCTATTCTTTTTATTTCTATAAGCGTCATGAATTAGCATTGAAGGTGTCTATCCTTCCTTTTCTTTCCCTCCTCAGTTTTCTTCTATGCTGGATTAAGCAACAAATGTTGAAAGCCCAGGTAAACCATAGGCTTTTTGGATTTTATAAAAATTTCCTTTATGAACTTAAATGTAACATTAGCTAGCATTCTAGTGGGATTTTGGAGGCATTCCAAAAAAATATATTAGGTTTTTAAGGCTGTAGTTCAAAACATGAAACTTCTAGAGTGTCACTCTCTAAAAGGATTTTCAATGTTAAATTTGTGTATCATGGCTGCACATCTCAGATGCAAGATATCAGGGGCACTTCTTCCTTGATTTCTTTTCTGAGGGGCAAGTCCATTCAGTTAGTCTCACAGACAGGTCCTTGGTCTTTACCTAAAAAGGTTTGTAATTTACTACCTAAATGAGGAAAAAATGCTGGTGGCTGTGTGACCCTGTGGAGTCTTATAAGGCTATTTGCAGATTCTTTACTAGAGTACTTGGAATATACCTTTGCCACCATCTTCCCAATGTATAGCTAGCTGCAGAAACACAAGTTTCCTAATCCAGCCGCCAGGTCACAAATGTATGATTGATTCCTGAAATCCTATTTTTATGATTGATTCTACATGAGATCACTTGGATTCCCAACTTCCTTCTGGCTGGAACTGAGGTTTTGAAGCCTGAAGTAATGGTTTATGGCCAAGTCACATGAGTGGCATAGTGCACACAAGTCAGTATGTATGGTTATGACGACTCAGATTCTGACCTGAAGTGGTGAACTTTGCTTCTGAGGCCCCATTTTAAGGAATATTGTTGCAACATACAGAGTGCCCCCCCCCCCCTCAAAGTTCGTGGATTTTTACTTCACGGTTCTCTGTTATTCGCGGATGACACCCTGGATCTACCCAAGAATGTCTGTGGGTAGTTTTAAAGTTGCCGGCATTTTCACGGCTGGGACAGGGAGCCATTTATTCAAGAGACAGTAATTTCCTTTACCTGTATTGTAAATATATATATGTGTGTGTGTGTGTAGACCAGTGGTATATTCTTAATGAATGCAAGGGATGCATTGCATGCCTAGTAGAAAGCAAAATATATTTTTAAATGGTATCTTCAATAATACAAATTTAAATTTTAAGTCTTCACAGTTTTCACTCAGGAAAGTCGAGGAGACTCAGCGTCCCTCAATGCATGCAGAAGGATAAGCTGCAAGCCCCGTCCAATCAATAACATGCTAAAATGAACTTTATTTATTGTGTTGGAGCATAGGGAATTTGAGCCATTTTAGTCAAATTTAATACTTTTTCCTTTAATAAGCATGGCATCTTATGTTATACAGTGATATTATATTACCTAAGAGTTGTTGTTCCATAAGAGTGGCTAATAAATAAGGTTTCTGTAAATGTAATGGATACAAATGCATGCACTTCAAAAACTGCTTTCACTTGTCGAGAGGCTATGTAGACCGGCGGCGGCTCTCCGTCAGCTGGACAAAACTGGTCTACATTATTATTTTTTTATATTTCTAAATAACTCTACAGTCCGCTTTTAGTTATAGTTTTTTCACTTGGGAAAGTTATTCAGTTTTCTGTTTTACTTGAAATATAATCGGATCATATAAATAAAAATAATTACTAATTATTTAATTGTTCAGCAGTAAGGTCATTGGCAACTTTACAGAGGGCCATTGTGCATGATGCCTAGTAATGTTATTTTTTTTAAACTAATTTATTTATACATTACTGTAGATCACACTGAAACCTTAATATTCTTTTGCAGTAAGTATTTTTGCACCCATTATTTAATGATTTATAATAGATACTTTGTCAGATGCCACTGATATAATTTAAGAAATTAGGTGTTTATTAAAGCTTAATGACCCTTATTTAGAGAAATGCCATATCCTACTTTATATTTGATTTGATAACTGATATAAGTGGTGTTCTGCATGCCTCATCAGTGCAACCACGGTATGCCACTGGTGTAGACACACACACACACACAAAACACATACAAATAAATAATAATGAGAAAATACTCTCACAAATATTCAGAACCAAATTATTTTAAAATGTGACAGTCTACCCTCAAGTCTGTGTTCTATTACAGTGCTTTATTAATAGAGCACAGACTTGAGGGTCGACTCACATTTTTTATAAATTTGTTAATGATTATTTGTGAGAAGATTTTTCAATTATTATTTATTTGTATGTGTTTTGTGTGTGTGTCTACACACACACAAACACACACGCACATATACAGGTTGTACCTCTCTAGTCCGGCAACCTCGGGACCTGACCGGTGCTGGACCATGGAAATTCACCCTTTTCCTGGATAGATAGTGACTTGTGCTTACACTTGGAAGTACTAGCACCACTTTTACTGCTTCGTGGTCTCTTTGAAGATATATTGAAGGGTTAAATGTTGTACAGTAGGTACTCAAATTTTGGGAGTTTTTAATTCAACGTTTTTTATTTGGACACACACAAAAAACATACACAATTTAAAATTTTGGCGGCGGAAACTCGAATTTCGACGGGTTTGAGCGGCCCGCCAACGTTCAGACATGCGCAGATCATGTAAACAGTATCATTTCTTTTATGTACAAAAGATTTATTATTGTTTATTACTGAATGTCTTTTTGATTTAATTAATTTTTATGTGTGCAAAATATTAATACAATTAATTAATAATACGTGGAATATTAGAACACACGAGAAGAGACGGCATTGTTTTCGTTAATGTTTACAAAACCAGTGACTGATTGGTTCTACATATAAAACTGAAGAAAATAAGACTCTGGTTGTAGCTGTAGTAAAATTATTGTAAAAAAATTAATATGGTTGTTTTATGTTATTTAATGTTAATAAATGGAACAATATAAGTAGCTAACTATTAATGGTAAAGAAAAAAGTGTGCTTACGTATGTTAGTGAGCACATATGAAAACATATCATCATTACTATACCTAAGAATATGAAAGCAACACTTATTTACTGTTTATATATATTTTAATTAATGTTTCTGAATTTAAAACAAAAATTCTACTCACCAGTGGTGGTAAAGTTGAAAACATAAGGACAGCCAATGTTGTTGTGTGTGTTTTTACTCGGATGACATATGCTCAACTCTAGCTGAAGCTGTAGAACATAAGAACTTTTTCTGTGTTTTTAGTTTTTATTTAATTTTATCTGTGTTACAGTATATTTGTTGGTTAATTAGGATGTTGCTTTATTACAGGTAGTAATTCGCCAAAAAAGTAGGGCAAATAAGGCAAAATTTAGCCAAACATCGAAAGTACCAGACTCAAATTAATTTTCTCCATGGGCAAACTAAAATCGTTCCGGATCACAGAATGCCGGACTAGAGAGCTACACCCCCCCCCCTCTCCTCATAAAAAATACATTCCTTTCTCAGCAAATTTTATTCATGGATTTGGTGATTCGCGGCCATTTTGAGCACCTAACTCCCGCGAATTTGGGGGCCCCCTGTGCTAGTTAATATTTTGATTTGTCTTGGTTGCTAATATGTTGGGTTTATCTGGGTTTTTAACAGGTAGATTGAGTGAGCAATACACATGTTGCCTGATCCAGTCTTATCATGGGATGGGATTTTAACATCAATCTCCCATTTCTTAGTTTTTCTTGCCCATTTACTTTATCATTATAATCGCCCATCTTAGCTACTATCTCTTAGGAATCTTGTCATTTGTTTACCTTGTCTCTCAAATCAATATTTTTTTTTATTAATCTGTATGTGTTACACTGTACATAATCTGAATATTATTTGGTTATATACAGTATATTTTTATTAAAATATATTTCAGTAGTTTAGTTGAAGTCATTTATAAGTTAACAGTTTAGTTTACTTCCCCTCTGGTATGTGAATATTTTTTTCTATAGTACCTTGCAAGTCATAAGGTGAGATGTGAAGCATTATTATCCTCAAGAACAGATCACTTATGGCAAAACTTGGTCAAGGTTTGTGCCTGAAGCTTCTCTTGAGAATAACAGAGGAACAAAGAGGAGATCCACATTTGATTAGTTTTGTATAAGATGGGAAGACAGAACATCTCCAGTTTTGTATAAGATGGGAAGACAGAACATCTCCAAAGATACATAAATTACTCTAAGCATATTCATAATGGGATGTGACATAATGTGTCTTTATATGCTTAGAATGAGACTTTTTATTGATTCATTAGGCCTACTTATTCAAAATACAGTATAGGCAAGTTAAGGACAAACCATCCAGATATGTAGGGCATTTTCCATTAGTGAAACAGCTTATAATTTCTGAAAGGTTTTGCAACCTTTGTTGCTTCAAGATGTGTTTGCTAAATATGGTAAGTTCTGCTGAAGGGTGTTTACTGGCATATGTTGTCAAATACAGTTTCCAGAATATTGCCTTAATTATGATTCTCAAAGTCTCATCCATATACATGTTTACCAATCTCAAGTTTTGTGCTATATTGCCTAGTGACCAATGTTCTCTTTGTTTTTAATAACAATATTATTTGTTTTACTTTATTGTATGATAATATAGGAGTGAAGAGAACTTCTCATTCAAAAGAAAAGGGATAGAATGTAGTCATTTATGTAAGAAACTAAGTAGATCACTGAAGACAGATCATATATCTATGAAAGATTGTGCCAGCCCTTAAATAATTTATTTTTTATTTTTTTTGCAAAGCTTTGTTTCATCAGGTAAAGTACACATTGGTGAGTCTTGAAGGTTATACAAGGATGGTACTAAAATGTATTTAGAAAATATTGCAAGGCATCTGTGTTTCTAGAAGTATTTAGATAAATAAAACAGGATTTGAAATTTGAAACTAATAGCAAGAAAAAATATGGAATAGGAATCTTTGATATTGGAAGTTTTGATTAAGTATGACAGACTAGTAAGTGTGAATGTGACCAAGGAATAGTAATATCAGTGGTAGAACACACAACCCTTTTAATTTTCCCAAGGTACTGCACACAAAATAAGAGATTTTGTTTAGTTAAGTGCAGGACTTTACTAATATTGCAAGTAACCGTGGATATATCCACTCTAGTGATATTACTGTCCTCTGAATTTTAAGCATATTCTGTATTGAAAAGATGGATGGTTGAATCAAAGTTTTTTATGGATTGTTTGTATAAAGTTTACTACAATTGGAAAAAAGTGCAAGTTTGAATGTGGCACCACATGATTAGTTTGATGGCCTCTTAAAAGTTTTAATAATTTCTATTCATGATTCCTCTTCCATCAGGCCAGCTCTCACTTGAAGCAGAAAAAACTTGGCTTCAGTATGAATCGGAGCGCTGGGGTCTCAAGTTCAACCTAGAAGGTAGCCATACAAACAATAGAATAGCATCCTCTATTAGTCAGTTGCTGTTGATGTAGCACATTGCTGTTGTTTGATGTGATCATTTGTCTGTTATATATATCCTCACAAGTGATCTTCCCATGACAAGTATTTTAACTCCTGGGAATCCAACTGTAATGCTTCAAAAATATAATTTGCCTTCAATAAGGACCTAAGCATTCACCAGGAAGCCCGCTGCTAATAGCTGTTTATGTTTTATTGTCTTAGATCTCCTGAAGTGAATATGCTGTTAGTATGTGTTGGTGTCTGAGCTACTACTGAAATGCTTAATGCACAGTATAGTCACTTGTTCTCTCCAAAAGGCTGCTTTTGAGGTCATACTGCTTTACTGTATGGCCTAAGCTTTATAATTAGACGTGTCCTTTTAGTACATGAAATAATCAGGCTTTGCATGTTAGACTAGACAAGTACATCAAAAGACATAAAAGTTTGTTAAAAAGCAAACTGCTTGCACTGTGATGAGATATAGTTTACGTCATGTCACATGAATAGAATGTTTGGTTTTTAATTTATTGCTCAAGATTTTTATAATTTTTTTTCCCTTGGACATCCAAATTATAGAACAAATATTTGATACCTAGCTATCTAATGAAAATTTTTTCCAGTTCATTGAACTATTTGGAGAAGAACAGGCACATTTCAGAATATGTTGTCTCTTTTATGGTCTACCAGTAATTTAACAAGGGGTCTGCAAGATTTCCCCTCAAGAGCACTCTATTGAAGAACATGCCTTGTGCAAGAGGCTATCTGTCCTAGAGGCAGGGACACTTCCTGGTGGATTGGTATAAATTGCTTCATAAACAGGTACACACCCATGCAAATCAGGATTAATAAAGCATAGCCCCAGCCCTGTCTGATTATTGCTTTGAAAAACAATGAATCATAATAAACCCCAGAATTAATTCTGTAGTTAATTTGTTTGGCATGAGCCTCTCAGTCTTGGACTTGGTCCCCAAAATCAGTCTTTACATGGAAATCAAATTGAAACAGAAAGACAGAATCTTAATTTTGGCATCTCCCCTTGAGATTAATTCTGTTGAACTTTCCTGTTTTATTTTGTTAATGCTCAGCTTCTTTAGCTTCATTTTGAGACTCATATTTTTGGAAATCTTAAACTCTTTTTATTTTTATTTAAAAGAAGTTGAGTATGGTTTTATCTGTCATGAATATGGTCAGTGTAGATGACAATTTTTGCTTTTCCAGGTTCTATTTAATTTGTGTACAGTATCATGAGAGCTAATCAAGTTCATAGTCTTCTGAGATTCAATGATGTTAATTCCATTTGTTTTCTTGTTTCAACTTTCTGATCTTTTTACACTTTACATTTTTTCTTTCTTGTTCTAAAACCACTTTGTATGCTGTTAAGCGTGAGTTCCCCTATTCATTTAGAAAGCAGGGATTTTGGTTGCAACTCAAGCTATGGTAGTGCTCTGTGCCCCTGCTTCTGATGTAAGGGTAGGTGAATCAGCACCTTTTTGGGACAATTACTTTTTCTTTCCATCCTTATTGGTTTATGTTGTAGTCCAGTCTAGGCTTTCTTGTATCAAATTGGGTTATATCATCAGCTATTGTACTTCTTCATAAGTTTCTATATTATTTTTTTCATCCTTTCAAAATCTATCACAAATTATTTGAATTCCAGCTCATTCATAGATTTGTAATCCACGTATCTGCAAACTTTCTGGCTGCTCTAACTTAGTTCAGACCCACCTCAGTTAGTTTACTGTTTTTCCTTCTTCATGGCTGTTATTATTACAATCTTTCAGGAGGGTGGAATCCTTTTAGGATTTTTAAGATCTTTCTCCTTTGTTGGTAGCCTATTTTGGGTGCCTCTGGGCCTTTACTTTTATTGTGCAGACTTATAGTTTTATCTGAATATGAATGCTTCTATATTGGTTTACTTTCTGATGTAGATTTGCTGTATTTTGCACCATTCTCATCTAATAGAATTTGGTGAAAGTGGGCCCCATAGGCATGACTCCCCACCAGGAACACTGTGGATATAACCTATTTGAGTGTGCAAGGAGGCAGTGTGTTTGGTACTGCACTCAGCTGATTTTACTTGTCCAATTTGTAAAGTTAGGTACAGATATCCCCTTATTTACGATGTAGGGTTACGTTCCTGAAAGACCATCACAGGTCGAAATATCATAAATGGGATACGCTCCCAGCTAGTCCAACACCCACATGTATCAATGGGGGGGGGATCCGACACTAATAATATACATAAAACAATTAAACAACCCTCGCCACATCATTAAGAGCAAGCCTGGTCGTCATCACGTCCCCTTTAAGAACAAGGTCCTCCTAGGCCCGACATCCCCTCCTCTGAGATTTGATAGAAAGTCATAAGGGTTGACACAATAGTGTTTTAATGTTAGAGTTATGGGTCACCCTGTCAGGTCAAACATAATATGGCAGTCCCAGCAAGTTAATTCTGCAAAAAGTTTTCTGATTTCTAAAACAATATAAAAGATGTAAGATTTGTTATGTTTATGTTCAGAGGTGCTTTTCTATAATGCTTGGAAGTCTTGCCCCTCTTCAATCTCAACAAATCTATGCCAATGCTTATAATGGTTACTCTTCATGGTATTAGATGCTATTCACTCTATTCATATGTCATCTTTGGGTATTGAGTAGTTAGGCAAACCACAAACCACTTGTAAAAATGCTGGTGAAAGAGAGTGAGCAGACTCACCCATTATGACAAACAAATAAAGACTATGGCAATGCATTGTTCTTGGGGTAAAAAAAAAATATTTTAGACTTTCCATTAGCAAGTGGATTTGTTGCTGGCCTTTTAGACGTGTTAATACATGATAATGATAATAAATTGGGGTAAATAACCACAAAATGTAGAGAGAGGAAAGTATATACAGATGTTGGCTGCTTAAAACTGAAGTGCGTGCCACCATGGCGTTACCAATAGGAAAACAATGTGGCCAGCCAAACCCGCCAATTTCAAAGCCAACCATGTTAAGAAACAACTGGTTTTCAGGTATATTTAATTTCCTGGCAGCCAGATACATGTAAATGGTCTGTTCCCTTTTAATTCTTTGATGCTCCCACACTTGCAACATTCTGAGTTTATGATGCTGTAGGTCAGTGGTAAAACTTTTGCCTCATGGGCAAGTGGTCATGGGATTTGTCCATAGGTATAGAGGAGTGGGTTTCCTTCTGTTCATCCTACCCTACATGCTTATTGTTTCTCAATGCCCTAGTGGGTACAGTGTCTTAAAGAAAGAATATGGATCTTGAAGATATTCTACGTTAACAACTTTCAGAATCACTCATCATACTGTCAATTCAAGCACATGCTCTTTTGAAGGACTTTCTACAAAACTTTCTTTTCCATTTTGATTTAGGAACTAGATCCTTTGAATGATAAATTTTCTTTGCACTCTGGCCTTACAAAGTACTTATTGGACTTTTTTGTGCGTGTGCACATGCCCTTCTAAATTGGGATACTTTTGGTGATTTTTCTTGGAACTTGACCACCTTCATCCATTTTCTCACCAGTTTAAAATATTATAGGTCACTTGTTGAATGACCCATCAACGATTGAATTAAAAAATCCCGTACATTGGCTGAGGGAAAGAAATGAGTAACCTGGAATCCCTTTCTCCTTCCTTGTTTCGATTTCCTTCCTTTCAGGAAAATGTGAGGACTGAAATTTGGAATCCATGTGTATACTTGAGGGATTTCAGACAAGTTACTCAATTCCAGGGTTTATCCTGGTATAATATTGCATTGAAGTTAATTCCCCACTTCACTAACCCTGGATTGACTGAGTGAGTATCTGATTATGCAGTATTTTTCACCAATCTCATGGAAGAGTGTCCATGCCTCTAGAACAGAGATAGCATTCCAGGGTACGGCAGGCTATGCCAAAGGGTGTTCTAGTTGGGGTATTTTGCCAGTCACACACCTCTTAATTAAACAGGATTTTGCACTAGTCCTGACTTATTTCATAGTTGAAAGGCATGGAGAGTATAAGCTACTGTAAATTAACTGACAAAATGTGGTTGGGTTGCAGCGGCTGAGTGGATTTAGAGCTCACTCCCTCTCCTGAGGGTCAATGGTTTGCGCCCAGGGCACTCCCTGTCCACCCAACTGTTGTACGTACTTCTACAGATAGGGAAGTGAAAGCAATCAAGTGCGGTGCTGGCCACACCACTTTATTGTATTCTGAACACTATCAGGCCTTTGAATCCCCCTTCCACTTTTGTTATGTGGTTACTTGAGGTACAAAAATTTATTGAAAAGAGAATTTTAGAAGACAGACCTTCAGAAAAATGCATCGTCAGTGTCTGTACAGTATATATTTTTCATTACACCATGTAGATCAGTAAGTACCTGTGTGTACAGTAATATGAACATAAATCTAGGAATCCTAACTGGTGTGAAAAATCAATAAGAATGCTGTGTACTGTATTTAATGAATCCCAGTACAGTAGATGCCTTGTCTTCCTCTGTTTGTGGTTGAAATTACTTTTGTTTCTTTTGAAACTGAACTAGAGGGGTCATATAAACCCTGCATAATGTAAAAAAAAGTAAAATTATGTAATATGCTGTAAGCCTGCATGTATGATTGCTTGTTTCAACCCTTCAGTACAGATGGTGAAATACAGACTGTTAAATCTTTTCCTGTGTACAGATGATTAAAATAAAAAACATACACCTGACCCTTGCTATTCACAGGGGTTAGGTTCCATAGAACCCATGAATTGTTAAAATTCGTAAATAATATTAGCATCCATAATAATATATGTTTCGGATATAGTACTTGAGACATGTACAGTATATGACATTTCAGTATGTTTTTCTTTAAATACATGTACAGCCCCCTGTACAGTGGTGAAAAGCATTAATAACACAATGAAATCTGCTTACTTAGAACAGTACAGTATACAGTCTCTCCTCGACTTACGACATATTCGACTTATGACAACCCGGACATA